CTATCTAATGCATATTGCACAAAAAATTTATATAAAAAGGTTTCTCAAAATGCCAGTTATATTTATCACTTGGCCCTTTTATCATATAAAATGTCAAATAAAACAAGGCAGTTGAACATATTGAACAGATGGTTGATCTGAGTGTCTCGTTCTTGGCCAGAAAACTGACTTTAAACTAGACTTTATGCTGATCATTAAACATCTGGTTCTGTCTGTGAGACCAATATGACAGCGGAAATGTGGCGGGGGGTTCTGATTTTTTTATTGTTTAAAGAAATAGTGCCATCTATAGGCCACTTGGTATATGACTGTGGTAGCATGAGATTTATAAATACAATAACTTACTTTTTATTAATAATTAGGACTGTGAATCTATTAAAATATTGAATTGCAATTAACCTCAAAATATTTCTGTAGTTAATGCATCTATTTCATTTAAAAAATCTGTATTTAAATATTCATAAATATTTATTAGGCACTTTTAAAAAATAAAATAACACTATAAAACAGTAATCCAGCATTGATTATTAAGCAGTCACACTTGTTTTTAAAAATTAGTTTTGATGATACTCTATGACTTCTGAAAGAAATGTAGTAATTTTGTTTTGGTATTTTATACAGAGAGCTGAAAGATGATTGGACTAACAGCATTCTCATGAGCTACCTGCCACCCTTTACCACAGGTGAGGCATACACACACACACACACTTACAACTTCATGTTTTTTATTCTACACATTTTCCTTTAGACCTAGAGATGAGAAATTTTCTCCCTGAGTTTACGAGAGGTGGAGATGGACATGGATTTGGCTTGAGTCAATGTTCACTGACTTATGCAGTTGCTAGGGTGTTCTGGGTAGTTGCTAAATTTGTCCTAACCCCAAATATGAGCAATAATCTTCGCAAGCACCAATAATAATCTAAAACGTATTAAACAACATCTGATAACCAGGTTAGTGGTGTCTTTGTTTCTTAGAAGGTCGCAGGCTCTCTTTGCCTATCAGCAACAGGTAATGTGTGTGACGAGGCTACTTTAAGAGGTACAGAATTTACACAAACAGGTGATATTACATTTCGTATGATCTTTGATAGTGCCCTTACTAAGCAAACAGGTGTCATTTGAGTGCTTTATGATTACATATACTCTGTGTTTCGATGTCATTTTGCTCATGTATCTCTGTGTGTGTGTGTACGTACTCACATGCTTCCATGGCGACTGGCTTTTCAGCTAGATCTACAACATGAGGAAGTGGACCGTCTCAATTCCAAGCTGGAACTCGAAAAACGAAAACGCCATGATATAGGTATGTTTGTACAGGTGCAAATTCGTTATACCTCAGTATTTTTGCCTTCCCGTTTTACACTGAGCACAAGTATGAGGGTTAAAGCAGCACCTACCAGATTTTTGTAATTTAATATTGTACATTTGGCAGTTTAATCATTAAATGGGTAGGGCTCTTAACCCTTACCTTCCTAAACCTAATTCTTTCTTACTTTTTCCTAATCCTTTTAACCAATTTTTCTAATTTTATCTTTTCCATTTCCCTATTTTTTTTTTTTTATCGTAATCCCTTTTTCGCTCTAATAATATATATATATCACTGATTCTTGAGATAAGGGACACACGCAAAAGCCCTCTTTATGTTAAAAATAAAGAAATTCATTAAAATAAATGTATTTAGGAAGTTACATCTAAAGGAAATCCGCATACTTAAGGCATTCATTGCTTTTAAAAAAAAATAATTTATTTAATATTATTTTAAATACATGCTCTACTACACTTGGAGATACACGTAATTTAACATGTCCTCAGCAGGAGGTCGCAATGTAAAACTGCCAAATAAAGTGTTTAAAAACGCAACAAATGTAAAACTATACATTTATATTGAAAGGCAAAGATTTGTAATATATCAAACAATACAAAAAGTAAATCTTGAATTATATTTCCCATAAAAAAATAAAGACCTGAGATGACCGAACACCTGAGAAGAGATGATGCAAACCCTAAAACATAAACTACCAAATTTTGCCAAATTTTACCAAAACATATAATCATTGCTGTTAATAGTGTTCATCGTCTGTTTGATTATGTCATTAATTGAATTTTACCGTACATTTCTGCCATATGTACATCAATTTGACAGCTACTACTAAATATATATTGTAGAAACGTAATTTTCTGTAAATCTGCTTTGCAACGATTTGTATCGTGAAAAGCGCTATACAAATAAACTTGAATTGAATTGAATTGAAAAATATCTATCAAAGTTGTGTCCTCACTTTGCATCAACTGAATAAATCAGGTAATGTCAAAATGTGACTTTCTATTATTTTAACTTTAACTCTGAGGAACCCTTTCCTATTTCCTTCTCATTGTGGATCTTACAGTAGGACACTTTTTTTGCACCCTCAGATTCCAGATATTCAAATAGTTGTATCTCGGCCAAATATTGTCCTATCCTAACAAACCATACATCAATGGAAAGCTTATTTATTCCGCTTTCAGATGATGTATAAATCTCAATTTCGAAAAATTGACTCTTATGACTGGTATTGTGGTCCAGGGTCACATATAGTCCAATATTCCATTTTGTCAACTCCGTCAGGTTTTATGTCTGGCGGTGTTGACTTGTAAGCTGACGGAGTTGACAAATGCTCACAAAACTCTTTATATAGTGATATAATATATGTTTTGCATATGGGGAATTAATCTAATGTTGTTTCATGATTTTATTTACATACATATTTGGCCTGATTTACATGCCTTATTTATTTATTTGTTTATTTATTTATTTATTTTACAACCTGTCACTCTCATGAGATCACAGCAATAGTAAATCCAGATGTAATGGACTTCATAGAGAGTGAACATGCCAGTTGACCATTGCTTTAGTCATGCAGGTCAGGCACAAAAACAATTTCGTAACTGATGGGGTTTAAAGACAGCCTACAGATCCTTGGGATTTATATTAGGAAAATTTCTGTTGCTGCTACAGGGCAGCACATAATAATGTTTACCATTACACTGAACCTGACATAAGCTTCTTGTATTTTCTATGCTACTGGAGACTCTGATTGAGACATCCACGAGAATGATTATTGTATTAAATTAAATATCAGTTTAAAAATTAGTTGTCTTAATTTGTTGTCTTGTCAATCAGTTGTTGTAACCTCAGTTGGACCTTTGTCAGCTCCGTCATTTTTTGTCAGATGAAGGTTTCTGTTAATTTTGAAATAATGATTTTATTCTTTTTTCAATTTATTGTTTTAAAATAGTAAAAAATGAACGGAACTACATGATATTATGTCTATGTTCTCAAAGAACATAGGCTATATATGTTAAATATTAAAAAGGATGGTGGAAAATTAAGAAATGTAGGAATTGGATTGTTCATATTAGTGTGAAAATGGGAAAAAGCTTCAGCTTCACTTCAGCTCCTTTACTGAACACCATTATTACATAATTGAAGACTTCACATTGTTATTGGGTGGATCAAATTAAAATATCATGCTTTTAATGCGTCTGACGGAGTTGACACAAATTAAACTATGAAGCAAATTAATGTACATTTTTAGAAAAAAAACATTTTCAGAAAAATCTGTTCCCTTACATGTTCATTATCGGAGCTCTTTCTCTACAAATATATCAGCGTATAAATAATGTATCATTAAATAATAGAAAGTCACATTTTAAAGCATGTTTTGTCCCTTATCAAGAATCAGTGATGTGTGTGTGTGTGTGTGTGTGTGTGTGTGTGTACCTGTTTTTCTATTCTGGTGGTGACTTAAACCAGAATACACACAAACTCATGGGGACTCGTGTCACGGTGGGGACCTAAATTGAGGTCCCCACAGGTAAACAAGCTAATAAATCTGAAGTTTTTTGAAAATCTAAAAATGCACAAAGTTTCCTGTAAGGGGTAGTTTTAGGTGTATACAGTTGGTGTAGGGCAATAGAATATACGGTCTGTACAGTATAAAAACCATTACGCCTATGGAGAGTCCCCACAAGGATAGCAAACCAGACGTGTGTGTGTGTGTGTGTGTGTAGACCTAGAGACTTTTAAATTGAAAGAAGATGTGTTCCCTTGTATGTTTGAGTCTCTCAAAACTTCATTCCCTAACTCTAAATTAATTCTGAGTGTTATATGAAAAAGGTCATCTAAATGTAAGAATAGAAGAAAACAAGATGCACAATTAAATATCCTTCATCAGACAATACTGCTAAATTATCAAATATTAGCTTAAAAAAGTTACAGATTAAAATGTTTTTTTTAAAGAAATTATTAAAAAGATTATTGAACAATTTATTATATTCTTATTTACATATTCTGTAGAAAACAAGTTCTTGATGTACAGGCTGAAGAACACACAAGAACTGTTAGACAATATTCCCTCTGACTCGGGTGAGTAGGTTTTTTTTTTCATCTAGCAGCTGTAACCAACACATATGAATTGTGATATCCTCCAATCTCAGCAGAACAGTTGCTCTGAAATGCTCATGTGCTCATATAATGGTTACCCACAAGATCCCTGCCTGTCATATTGACTCAGCAACCATGCTAATCTTTTGAAGCACCTGACCAATAACAAGCTCAGTCTGACCTTTGCTCACACCTCCAATTATAAGAGCCACTTGTCTTCTAGCCTGTGACTCATAGAGCAGTGTGCCGAGTTATAATGACTCATAAAGCACTACTGGCTCCACAGTGAGGGACAAAGAAAAACCCATAAGATCGATCCTGTCTATAAAATCAAAGCGAAGAGAGGCACAAGAGAGGCACGAGTGCCCTAAATTCACTGTACAAAGAGGTCCACATGGCCAGTCTTCTCCAGTCAAACTAAAAAGATATTTATTGAAGTAATGAGCACAACATGAAGTGGAGTATCTGATTAAAGATACCAGTGTTCAATAAAAAATACACATAATCACAATAAACAATTCTTCCACCAAGTAAAAAAAGCAACAGATGATGTGTGGTCACAAGTGTGTGAACATCAGCGATTCAAATATGGCTCATCCAATAATATGCTTTCTAATTGCTTTCGCCTCAGTAAAGCTAATGTTGAGTTGTAAGTACTGACATTAAGCATGAAGTTTGTAGAATATGTTGGATTGTCTTTGCATTTTCCAGATGATCAGGAACAGACTTAACAGGAGCATTCAAAACCAGGAACACAAGAGCAAGAAACAGCAGTCTGAAGAGCCTTCCATCCAAACACCAGAGGGTGCTGGAGTTTGACATTTTGTACCTTTTATTGCAGACTTGAAGGCGGCAAATGTTAATTGTTGGATGTCCATTCTCACATGTTTGCATTTATTTGTTATTTTTGCTTTTGTTTGTATGTTTATTTGTACCTCTGTCTCATAGATTCTGAATGTCATGTTTTTGAGAGGCAGCTCTCTTAATTGCCATTAGTAAGACATTTCTGAACCATCTACATAAAATCTGTGGGAAATAAAACAGACTAGTTTTGAATTTGAAACAACACACTTTTTATTGGGTAACTGCGTTTGAAACGCCCTTAGAAGAAGGTATCGTATGATAAAAGATAGGCGTCATTATACAAGTAGAGTTTCCCATCAACAGGATTGTAGTTCAGATTGGCTATTCCAGGAGAAACCTTCTCAAAGGGCAAAGAAAGAGAGTTTATCTCTTGACCAGTGGTTGTATCAAAAGCATAAAACACCTCTTCTTGGTAAGTATTAACATAGCGTGTAGCATACAGGACCCCGCACACCATAAACGTGCTGGTGACGGACCTCTTGAAGAGATGCGTCTTCCAGGTATGTGTGATATTGAGCTCCAGCGGATCTAAACGGCTAACAACAATGTTGCCGTGGTTCTCCTCTGTGGCGTATATCACCCACACGGCGTCCTGATCAGCCTCCAGGTCGATGTCTGTCCAATCACGGCAGCTGTAGTAGCAGAAAGGGAACTTGTCGATTCCAGCACCATCCAGTTTCATACGTTTGGTCGCTTTTGTTGTAATGTTGAAGCTGCAGATCTCAGCGGTGCTGTAGCATTGATAAAATACAGTGTTGTCATACAGAATAGTGCCAGAGCCCTGAATGGCATTTTTGTCGCTGTAGGATGATGCTATCTGTTCGTCCTTGTAGTTCCTGTTAGCCATGAAGTCTTCACGCGAGTTGTACATCCTGATTGTGTTGCCATGTTTGTGTCCACTCACCAGACAGTGTTCCCAGTAGCGTTCCTTACTGCTTAGCAGGGCATCACGGCCCCAAGCACCTGAAATATAGGACTTGCTGATGGAATTGAGCTTGGTCATGCTTGGAGAACTTATTCTGGTCATGATGCGCTGATGGCAGGTACCTGCGAGTAATTTAGTAACACGTTTTTTTAGTTTGTTAAAACCTTTTTGGACCTTCATAATTCAGAAAATGGCATTTAAAAGCAATTATGTTCCTTAAAAGTTTCTATATCCTACCTTCATAAAAAAAATAACTTATGAAAGACCGTATTACATACTTCTGAAATCATTTGGCATGGTCTTGCAACTCTGTGCACGGTTGTTGAGATCACGTAACCTCTTCTTCATGGTCTCTAGGTTGAAGAAATCATCTTTGTACATCCTCTGGACATCATTTTTCGCCTTATTTAACTGAGAACAACAGACGGTCTCATTAAATTGGACACCTATACTTTTATATTGTTGAGATGGTTGTTATCTCTAATTCGAGATTGATTTGAAAGAAAGGAGTTTAGAGAAATATTTGTGATCATGTGTTGCAATGTCTACCTCACTGAGTAGGTTATGCGTCTCTTTGTTGGGGTTCTGCATGTGCGTTTCATTGACAGATTGATGGATTTCCTCAAGTTCCTGGTTCAGCTGTTGCAGATGAAGTGCGCTGTACAGTCCACTTGTGTGAAGGTAACCAAATGCTTTCAGACGGGCTGAGATGTTCTGCAGAGTGGCTTCCATCATCGGCAGTTCTGCATTTGTGTTCCTCAACTGCAAATCACTACAGAAAGTTAACTGATATTCTTCTCAATTGTAATGAATATCATTTGAAAGTCAATACAGTGTCCATTTAGTTCTAATTGTCATGAGAAGCTTAATCGATACCTTACCTTTTCCTCAAACTCATTCAGGTTGTCCTCACAGATCTGGACCTGTCTTGTGACTTCCATAAACTGCACAGCAGGGAAAGTCCAGATAGAGCTATTTATTTTACACAAACATGAATCTGTCTTCTGTTGGCCTGGAACTCGCTGAGCCTCGACAGTCACCTAATGTACAAACACAATCAGATTATTGTATCATAGATCAATTCTCTCATATTTTCTCTCAAAATCATTCTTTTTCAGAGTTGTCGGAATGCTAGAAACATATGACTTTATTCATGGAAGAAAAACTTACGATGACTGTGAGGAGCAGCAGGTAGACGAACATGATGACCAAATGGGCTGAAAGACTAGAGATCTGCTTTAAATCACCACACATGCACTAAGATGTTGCAATTTTAGCTATGCAAATGAGCAGTTTTGCGGGGGTGTTGAAAAGGATGTGAAAACTGCACATGTCTCATTTCTGAAATTCAGGAAGAAATTTAGTTGAGAAATGTAGGAAAATTCAACCACAAGTTCTCTAAAAAAAAAAGGTTACCACCCCAGGTAATCCTAAATTTTATGCAGATATCTGCACTTTTATTATGCAAATTTGTTTCGGTATTGCATCATCATATTGAAATAGCAGAAATAAAGGAAACACAATCTTTTAGTTATGTTTGCTTTTTTTTCTTATGTCAGTGCAATGTTAAACAACCTGAAGTATACATGTATTTTACTAATAATCTCAAGAAAAAAGCCAATTCATGAAGAGGAAATTTCTAACTTTTTATTGTCATGTCAGCAAAACGGGTATTCACCTCTGCTTACAAATGGTTATGGCAATGAAATTATTTTCTAGTACGTACCTATCAATCACATACAGGTGCATCTCAATAAATTAGAATGTCATGGAAAAGTTTTTGTTGAGATAGTGAATTGGTGGGTTTTTGTTAAATGTGAGCCAAAATCATCACAATTAAAAGAACCAAAGACTTAAACTACTTCAGTCTGTGTGCATTGAATTTATTTAATACACGAGTTTTACAATTTGAGTTGAATTACTGAAATAAATGAACTTTTCCACGACATTCTAATTTATTGAGATGCACCTGTATACTATATGATGACAATATGAACAAAAATCATAATCCAAAATATTTGCAGGATCACATGATAAACTTCCTCATTTTGTAATTTCTCTCATGTCAGCAGAAACAGTCGACTCACTAAGCAATCCTGGGTTTTTGGCTTTAAATCTGAGTTTCTGACATGCAGAACTGTTCGTTATTCTCAAGGCTGCAGGATATCGACCTGTCCTATCTCAAACATGAGTCAGTCGAACATATTCATTTTGATGGTTGTCATTCCTCTCATTTTCTCACAGGTAAAATTTTATTTTCCATTATTTTTATTTTATTATTTATTTATTATCCATTATTTATGTTTCTGACACCACTTTTCAATATTTTTATATATTACAATTTTTAAGGCATGATATTGCTTGTATGTTGGATTTACGTATGCGCTGTTATTTCATATCACAGTCAGCGAGAGGGAAGGACTGTGTGTGTGAGCTACACAATTCTGATCCTGCTTTCCCTGAGAATAAACTCAATAACGTTGAGTTCACTGCTACACAATGCACTGGGAACATCACTTCGGAAAAGGTAGAAAGAAACGTCAATATTGTGATGTTTAGGGTTGCAAATCAGGTAGGGCTGCACGATTATGACAAAAATCATAAATGTCGATTATTCCCTTGAAATTGTGATTGCGATTATTAATTACGATTATCACAATTTACATTGAATGATGTTTATACCATTGTTTGATGCAACAAGCTGAAAACACTAACTGAAAAACCTTTAGTGCTTTTATATAGTATTAAGCCTCAAATGTCAAATATACATCGGATTGGTTTCTTCTTTAAATTATAAAAAAAATAGTAAAAATATGAATGGTATTATAATGTTATACTAAAACTAAAACAATGGAAAAACCCTTAAGATAACATGTAGAAAGAAAAAAACATATCTTAAGCGTGCAGAATAACATAAGTGGACTCGATTAATTGTGCAGCCCTAAAATCAGGTATGCATGAAATTTTTTTTTATAATTTGCAGTATAATTATTTACAAATCTATTACTGATGGAAAATGTCTTATTTAACTGTTACAACAATTTGAGTTGAATTACTGAAATAAATGAACTTTTCCACGACATTCTAATTTATTGAGATGCACCTGTATACTATATGATGACAATATGAACAAAAATCATAATCCAAAATATTTGCAGGATCACATGATAAACTTCCTCATTTTGTAATTTCTCTCATGTCAGCAGAAACAGTCGACTCACTAAGCAATCCTGGGTTTTTGGCTTTAAATCTGAGTTTCTGACATGCAGAACTGTTCGTTATTCTCAAGGCTGCAGGATATCGACCTGTCCTATCTCAAACATGAGTCAGTCGAACATATTCATTTTGATGGTTGTCATTCCTCTCATTTTCTCACAGGTAAAATTTTATTTTCCATTATTTTTATTTTATTATTTATTTATTATCCATTATTTATGTTTCTGACACCACTTTTCAATATTTTTATATATTACAATTTTTAAGGCATGATATTGCTTGTATGTTGGATTTACGTATGCGCTGTTATTTCATATCACAGTCAGCGAGAGGGAAGGACTGTGTGTGTGAGCTACACAATTCTGATCCTGCTTTCCCTGAGAATAAACTCAATAACGTTGAGTTCACTGCTACACAATGCACTGGGAACATCACTTCGGAAAAGGTAGAAAGAAACGTCAATATTGTGATGTTTAGGGTTGCAAATCAGGTAGGGCTGCACGATTATGACAAAAATCATAATTGTCGATTATTCCCTTGAAATTGTGATTGCGATTATTAATTACGATTATCACAATTTACATTGAATGATGTTTATACCATTGTTTGATGCAACAAGCTGAAAACACTAACTGAAAAACCTTTAGTGCTTTTATATAGTATTAAGCCTCAAATGTCAAATATACATCGGATTGGTTTCTTCTTTAAATTATAAAAAAAATAGTAAAAATATGAATGGTATTATAATGTTATACTAAAACTAAAACAATGGAAAAACCCTTAAGATAACATGTAGAAAGAAAAAAACATATCTTAAGCGTGCAGAATAACATAAGTGGACTCGATTAATTGTGCAGCCCTAAAATCAGGTATGCATGAAATTTTTTTTTATAATTTGCAGTATAATTATTTACAAATCTATTACTGATGGAAAATGTCTTATTTAACTGTTACATTTTCAATAAGATGACAGAGATTGACAGGCTGGTGTTGGGTCTACAACACCGTATCCGGCAGCTTCTGGACAATGTGTCCATGCTGGAAAAAGAAGACAACGGAAATCTGTATGCAGCCGTGTCTCTACGCATCATTGAATTAGAGTTAGCTGAGATTCAGGACCTTCTGGACAAACTCAACAGAACCACTAACAATTACCAGCAGCTCAGTGTACAAGCTGCTGCAGAGGTACAATTTCCATTTATATAATAAGTATAGGAAACGAGTTTATTGTGATGTAGTATGTAATGCTAAGAATAAAATAATTCCTCGCCAACACTGATAATTTTCAGTCATATTCATTTGCATTCATAAGACGATTAAAATACTAATAATGTTGTTTCATAGTCACGTTAGGTGTTGTAAAACATGATAATGCTCGAAATGTATTAAATCAATATTTCCTTGAATGT